AGGACATATCGACCATCAATAGCTATATCATACTATTATAATAGTTACCAAAAGGACAAAGAGGAATTTGGAACGACAAGTACATGGCAATGCCATATTAAAAAACATCCATTAATTCCCTTCTTAGCTCAAAGCCTAAACCTAGTATAAATAAGAGTCCTGGACACTAACATTTATAATAAGTTAACTTAATTGAGAATAACCCAAGTTATTGCCCAACACGGTATAAATCAATGTATATTTATTTTTTTCCACTTAAAGGTTAGATGTTTATAAAAAAATTTTTTGAAGCAATTTATTTTTACATCAATCGATAATCATTATAAACCTATATTATTAAATATTTAGAAATATATATATATAATGATTTATAATAGTATTTGGTGTATTTGATTTTTTGTGTTGTACATGAATTAAATAAGTTGCGTGAACAATAACGCAGTTACATCAAAATAATGAAAAACCCCATCCAGTAGTAGTCATAATTCTCTTTGATGTACCGACAATCCGACGAAATACACACGTATACGCTGTATATGATGTGTACAAACGCGTCCACACTATCACCGTTTTTAATGAATGCTGTATATGTGAGTGTGCTGGTTGTTTGCATACTATGTGGATGCGCCTTAAGTTAGTTTACACCGAAAATCAAAAATCTGTTGATGAATATACGTACTAATTTACCCCTAGTCCTTGAATAATACCGTTAATTTATAATATACAGATAAGCCACGCTATAGGAATACGTGGAAACAGTATTTTTAATAACTTTGAAATCCGAAGTTATTTATCAAATATATATACATAACTTATATATATTATTGAAACATATATTATAAATAAAACTATTGTATTGCTTGTAATTTGTAAACAATTTTGTTGGAATTCTATTATTATTTTTCATACGGAACAAGTTCTTAATTTACACGACAGGTTCAGATCAGAGGTTTAATACTCCTACATATAATTGGAGGGGAAAAATTGTTTTCTTGGAACTTGCCAAGCTTCAGCTACTACAGGCAGCTCCTAGACTTGTTCGTAGACTGTCACTCCTGCGATATTGCTGTTAACAGTCATTTGCGAATGTTGCGATTTTCATTATTATTAATTTTATTTAATATTTATTTTAAATTGGTGTATTAATGAATTTGAAACTATTTTTTATTAATAGTTTCTAGAGCTATAATAGTTATAAAAAGCTAAAAAAAAATTATTATTATTAATTATATAATAATTATTAAAATATAATAATTTTAGTTTAGTTTTATATTTTTTTTTTATAATTTTTACATATTTTGAATTTCTTTTGCTTGTTGAGCTTATTTGTTTTTTTATTATGGATCCAGTTGATCCAGTATTGGAGTTACCATTACCCTTGGAACCTTTATCTAGAGCAATTCCAGGACTTCGAGGGAGATCAACAGTGTACATTGATGAAAGTGGATATGTTTACTATCAACATTCTATTAGGGGAAGTAATGGTTAGTAATGGAAAATATTAGACATATAATTATTTCAACTTTAATCTAAAAGACTTGTAAAAAAAAGATGATTAAATTGTATTATAGTTTTTTTTTTTTTTTTTAAATATATAACCATTTATTATAGAAATTAACACATTTTAAAAATTTAACAATAACAAAATATGGTTTACCATCCTCCTGTAAGCACAATGGCTTGTGTTGGAGGATGAGAGTTAGTAGTTATAATATATGTGGAAAAGTTTAGATTATATAATATAATGCAATTTAAACACTAGATAAATGAAACAATAATAAATACATAAAACATTTTGAGAATTAATACAAAAATAGA